TATTTATATAAATATACAATGTTTCACGCACAGAAGTCATTTGCACTGATTCGAAGCCATATGCTTCAGTGTAGTGACCTAGAGCACAAATTCAGATTTCTTCTGTCAGAGATATAATTTCTGTAGGCATATGACATTCATTTAAAAAAAACAAAACAAACATGAAAACACAATTTAGAAGTGCAGCTTGAAAATATATAAATTAATAGAGCTTTATCTGGACCTATAAGAGTGTAGTACATACTAAAAGTTGCTCTAATTCCCATGAAGCATAAAATGTAGAAAAGAAAAGGAGAAGAATGTACACTGAGAGAATGCTGCTGCTTAATGCAGCTGTGTGCAAAGGGAAAACGGCATCTTTTGGCAACAAAATGAGACACCATTTTCATCTTTAAAACCAGCTAGTGCAGAATGAGCAGCAATCGCGGGCTGAGTCTGTGACCACCAGGAAAAGTGCTTCCTTTTGGAGACACATTATCTGTGTTCGTTTTCAAGTTTAAAGTATAACAGAGAGCAAAAGCTCCGATCTATTCGGGAAGCAGCAAGTGGCAAAGTGAGCTCATGTGCAAAGAAATATGTTCAGAATTCCATGGCAGGAAGTAAGCACCTGAGTTTGTGCACGAGTTTTAGGCACGTGAGACCCTAACTATCGGTGTCAATGTGCAGAAGTTGCTAAGACTGCTCATTTTGGCTTAAAAACCAAACAAACCAATGAGCCTCTACAAAACCTAGCTAGAGTTTTGAAGGAGGAGGAAGGAAAGAAACCGTAAACTTCCTGCACAGCTAAGGCAAAGATGTGCATGTGTACTCTGTGTGCGCATATTTTTTCTTATGAAGTGAGGCAGCTTGAATAGATTTGTCAGTTTGTTGCCTCTGTATGGAAAAGGAAAGGAAAAGTGCTCCAGGGCTAGAGAACCAGTCAATTTATGTACGAAAACAGTTTTCACTTGTGTCACATTCGCTTCTGTCGGGATGTTGGCGCCGCCGCCGGCCGCCCGCGCCCTCAGGGCAGGTCGAGCAGCTGGTGCTGGGCGTAGAGCTCCTCGGTGATGCCGTAGACGGTGCAGATGTGGGGCAGCGCATCGCCCAGCATGGCCACGGCCGCCTCGGGGCCGCCCACGTTCATGGTCTCCAGGAAGGCGTTGCGCGAGGGCAGCGCGCAGAACGCCGCCGTGGCCACCTTGCGGACGACCCACGGGTGGTAGCGCGCCAGCGACGCGTTGTAGGAGTCCGTGCAGATCACGGACGTCTTGGAGTCTTCCCGGCTGGTGCGCAGCCCCTCGAGGAAGAGCTGCAGCCAGCGCAGGGCGCGGTGCAGGCGCAGCACCG